GGACAGAAGCAGAAGGTGACAGAGGTCAATTTCAAGGCGATTAGAAGAGGAAGTGAAGAGAAGATAAGTTCATTTTCTATTTAAACATAAAAACAGCATTTTAATAAGAACTAAAGGTGACATAGATACTTTATTATGGTATAGTATTTAAATGTATGCCTGAGAAACATAATATTGCCCCTTTAAAAATGTCAACAGATTATCAGAGCTAAAAATCTATCAACACCAGTAAAGACATTTGAAATCACATCCAGATGGGTTATTTCATTGAATAAAAAAGGTGTCATGATATTATGAAAAAAACAACAACAACAACCCCAAAATAAAACTCTTAAGAGTTTCTAAGTATTTCATTACAAAAGGAGACCTTTCTCAAACATGTATATTTGAGTAAATAATTAAACTTTTATTCTAAAAAGTCAACAGTTATTTAGGGATTAAGTCTTAACAGAAAATGTATTTATTTATCTATTAACCTTTATTTAACCAGGCAAATCTCATTGAAATCACGGATCTCTTTTGCAAAGGCGGCCTTGGGATGAAGGCAGCCTTATACGAATAATGAAATATGTTACTACACCTGCTGTGTTTTATTCAGGATATCTATGACACATACAATGGCATATTCTGTCACACGTTGAACTGAGAGTCTAAATTCATTAGGAACAGAGGAGGAAAAACATCCTGGTCAAATGTTCATTAGTAAATTCCTGAAAGGGTAAGAGCTGCAGACTGACTTTGAGAGGAAGGTAGGCAGCGATGGTGATCTTGGCGCTGAGGTGAATGTTGCCATGAGTGTAGCTGACAGTAAGCACTGTGTACCCAGGAGACAGGGCCTTGGCTCGAACTCCACTGCAGTGGTTCTGGCCTGGAGCCAGCCTCCCTGGACAAAGTGGAAACAAGGTTGGTCAAAACCAAAGAGTGAGGAATAATTCAAAATGACAATGTACAGTAAAAAAAATGTTCAGAGTCAAATCCTCTAGTTTTCAGACATACCTGTGGTACAGAGAGATCTTATTCTTATAAAATACTTTAAAACATTTTGCAAATGGAACCTTTGAGAGAAAAGTTATAATAAAAGCAACAATAACTTATATTTTAAAGAAAAAGCTATGTCCTCATTATTTAAAAGAACCAATTGACAATTCCAAGGTTCAGCCGACTCAGACGGTCAAAGAGTGGTTTGTGGAGAATTTTCAGACAGAGTCAGACCTCAACCCCACAGCAAACTGTAGGGATGAGTTGAAGAATAATTTACACAAAAGCTGACTTTCACCATCCAAACAATACCCAGACAAAAATGTATGCAACTCTTTATGCTACTCTCTAGGTGTAAATTAACACAACTTTGCAAAAGCACATAAAATGCTTCCACGTATCAAACTTAAGAATTTATGTGGCCTGTGAGAGCTTCAAAGATGTATTGTCTTAAAAAAGCATATACTGCATTGACCAGAAACTACATCTCCCACAGTGCATGTTGATTATTTTACCTGCAAAATGACAGCATCCCACCCAGGGTTATTATAGTTAACTAAAACTAACTAAATAACAAAAACTGAAATTGAAAAAACCTTTTAGTTAACTAAAATAAATACAAACGGTAATAAAATGAAAAAACTAACTAAAACTGTATTTTTTTTACAAAACTAACTAAAACTAACTGAAATTAGATAGAATATCCTTAGTTTTAGTGTTTGTCAATTTATTTTGATTCATGTGGATCTTTTTTATTTATTTATTTATTTATTTATTTTTATTTATATATTTTTTTCCAATCGAGTAGTTTCACATTAGCTGTGTTCCATAACAACACTTGTTTACAGTCGGCTGCTGCTCAGCATCGTCTACTAAATGACGACAACAAAAGTTAAGAGAAAGCAGCAACGTCCACTTTGGAATTCCTTTGAATATGACTGTGAGAAAAATAAAAGCAAGTGTCTTGTAGTGAAAAACTGCATGAATCAAGCTCACACAAGATGGCTAACTATGACTATCTTGACACGCTAGCTTCTCTCAGTAGCTCCCATGAAAAACAAGCAGCAGGTAGTACAGGGTTGGAGACAACTATTGTCATTGTCCTAAAATAATCACCCAAGTTTTTAGTTGGCAAAATTGAGTTACGCCATTATTTTAGGAAGCTGTCGCTGTAATGGACTGCTTTAACTAGCGACCAAATAGCTGTTGGTTAGTTAACTCACAGGAACATCACAAGCTGGAGGATACATTGGCAAAAAAGCTAGAAAAAAAACTAATACTAGAACTAATAAAAACTAAACTAAACTAAAACTAGCATTAAAAATGCGATAATAACTAATAAAATGTAGCAAATCCACTGTAAAATTAATTAAAACTAACAGAATTAAAGAAAATTCATAAAATAAATCTAACATTCAGTGTATAAATCATTATTTCACTGCACTTTCATCGGCTACTTTTGCTGAAGTACTTTTCAGTGTTTATAAGGGGACGTGTTAAAACACTGTTTCTACACAGGAAATACCACATAGAGCTATTGTTTGTTAGCGTAGTAATGAGACAAGGAATGTGACTTTTCATGTTTAGCTTAAGTTAAAGACAAAAGGCTTAAGTTAATTACAACTGGCCCTTGAGGACCATCATAATGCTCATGTGGCCCTCAGTGAAAATGAGTTCGACACCCCTACTGTAATCAAAACTAAAAGGTCTTCCAATAAACTATTTTGATTGTTTACGTATATTTATCATTTTTAGCCAAACAGTGTAAATGAAGGCTTTTTGTAGTCTTTATAAGTCCTTAGCTTGTTGATAATATTCACACATTTATAAAGTGATCCTATACTTCTCATGCTGTTTTGGTAAATAAATAAATAAATAAATAAATAATATAAATAAATAAATAAATAAATAGGGGTGCAACAATACATGTACCCGTATCGAACCATATCGAACAGTGCTTTAGGTTCAATACACACTTGTATTGAAC